GGGCAACTCTCCACCTATCAGGGGAATGAGAGGTTGGCATGGTAACAGCATGGTAACAGCATGGTAACAGCATGGTAACATGACGCTTGTGCCTCGCCCCCCTCCTTTGCAGGGGGGCGTGGTCAGCTGCAGCTCATTTGCCACAGAATCAGCCCTTGTGAAGACAGGGCTGGAATAGAGCAAATAGAGCGAAATGAGGCATGGCTAAAATGCATGATCTGTTTGGTATTTTGAAAAAAAAACTTCACAGACATGTTTTATATAGGTATGGCCCGACAATATATTATTCAAATATAGCATGATAGGTCCACTTTAAATCAATGTCTCACTTATTCTGATAATGTACCCAATAAAAGGAGTTGTTAAATAATAGTGAAGTCACGTTGTAATCACAATAACTCATCTCTCTCGTTCAGATTAATATTGTCGGGTTTTTTTTGTTTTCTTTTTCTTCTTTGCCAAACGCCACTGTGTCAAGTGTCCTATTTGAGTTGCCGTATGTAGTTGTCAAATATGGCGGACCATCTCGCACATGCGCACTGCAGATCGGGTAGTGACAGTGCCAAAGGACATCTTGCATTGAAATCTAAAATGAAATGCAGCGTATGGTAGCCATTTTTGTCCAACCTAGCCTAACTTTTAGGCTAAGTCTAAGATGGCATTTGAGGCATAACGTTAGCGTATTAGTTAGCTAATGAAAGCAGGTTAAAATAACAGTTATCTTGTTTAGCATGTCACACGCTTATGTTTTACAAAATAATAGCATATAAGCATGCTATCAAATCAACACATTTTCATATTAATTAAACATTTTAAGGGCGGAGATTCATGAGCAATAGTTTCATCCAATAACATGACATGGCAAAATGAAAATAAATACCTTAGCCCCCAATATTTGTTATACTCTTTCAAAGTTGTTTTAGGTAGGACCGACATTTCTGGATTATCATTGGCATTGTTGCCATTTGTGTAGATGCCATCTTGCTGTGATCATATTTGAATGACTTTTTTAGCTAGCTTTATCCAATATGCCAACCAAAACCACAAAACCACCAGACTTGTTTTCACTTTCCGTGGGGTTTAAAGGATTAGCAGTGACACACGGGTGCTCTGCTGAATTGAATAAAGCTGGAACCTTGACATTTGGAAGTTGTCTTTTCAAACCACGAAAACCTGTCAAAGCGTCTTAATCGATGGCGTCGGGCACACAAGAACTGTGCCTGGAATATATGAGATTATCAAATGCCCCGGTGTCATGGTTAATACTGTCTGTCCTCTTCAGAGTTTTCCTACTCAGTCATAAATCTTAGTGTGTCTGTGTTTATGGGTGTGTGTGACAAGGAGAGGCGGGCTGTCTTTTAAGGAGCTGTTAATGAAAGTAAGTGGTGTGGAGAGAGAAAAGTGTCAACCGTCTTTCGTGGTGATAGATCGCTCCTGCTCTTAACATTAACGCAGAGCCGTCACTCCGAGCATTTCAGGCGGCCGCAGTCAAATTAATCAGGTAATGGACCTCAGTCTCCGAGCCCCCTCCATCCTCACTGCGGTTTCTCCTCCTCATTGCTACCTCTTGGTTTTTCTTCAGCTTGTCTTTTGAAAACTTGAGAGCTGCTCATTCCCACATTGCCAAGACACATAACAAATACAGTTGGTTCACCACAGATGCTTCTAGTGACCACACATAATGTATTGACTGCACAAAGACATGACTATAAGTAGAGAAGTGACAGGAAATGTGCGGACAGAGAGAGAAAGTGGGAAAATGCAACAGATCTCCAGCCAGAGTTAGGTGTAGAGGTGTTGCATTAACAAGCCCAGTGTCTTCAACATTTCAGCTACCATGATGAAAAGTTATCTTAAAGGTTTATTTTGTTATTCGTTGGATCAACTTTGGCCAGACAAATGGAAAACCAGATTCTTCTGTCGGCCTTGCATGTTTTTAGTAGATGTACCAGATGCCGAAGCTCTGGAAAGCGTCTGTGGCACGCGCCCCTACATTGGGGCGAAGGAAAAACAGGGTGTGTTGCTACTGCCCGTATTTGTGGGCTTTATTCCACTTTGAAACTTAGGTGCTTTTAAGCCAGGAATATTTGTATCATCTTAATGGCATTAAACTGTTGCTTTTTCTTGGTTTTCAATTAACACATTTCAGATCATGGTATATGTTATTCATGTTCAGAGCATTTGCTCTCTTCATATTGGGGCCAAGGGAGAACAGGGTGTGTCCTGCTACTGCTCCTTTGTTGTTGTTATGTTGGGCTTCATTCCACTTTGAAACTAAGGATTTGTTATCAACCTAATGGCATTCAAATGTAGCTTTTTTTCTGTTTTCAATTAACTTTCTATTTCCATCTACTTATCCCGCACACATTACATGAATAGCATGCATAATGTTTAACATGCTCACAGTCTTAGCTTAGTGTGTTTGCATGCTAACACTGGCTACTTAGCACTTAGGTATAGTCAGTATTGCAGGTACATGGTCCCTCATTATAAACACTGTAGAGGAAACTTCTGTGTAGCTATGCAGTGGGAGTCACCGACTCAGGAAGGAGACACGGGAAGAGCAGTAGCTTTGATGTCAAACACATGATGGTTTATTTGGAGTTAACGGCCGGAGGATTCACATCACAAGTCCAAGAGTCAGAGGTTCTGACTCCACGGTAGAGTTGCCACGTCAATTCTGAAGAACTCTACCCCAGACCCATGTATTTAGCTAGTTCAGAGAGCATCATCAACATGCTGCATAACAAGATAGAATGATAACACCTCTATCAGCTGACGCCAACAGGCAGGAACAGGGAGACAAAACACTGAGAGCACAGCAGCCAAGGTTACAGGTGCCTGTGCTCAGTCAGGACAGTTTGAACTGATACACTGGGTCAAAGTTATGGGCCTTGGAAAATATTTCCACAACAAACACCATTAGGATATATCCTCTGGGGACCATTGTGTGATGGGCTGTCGATGTAATCAAGTTAGCGTTGCTTATAACATAAATCAAGACAAAAAAGCAACCCAACTACTAAGATAAGTTTAGTAAAGGATCACGTATCTCATTACAGAAAATACTTATGTTTGAAATTACATGTCAAGATACATTACATGTTACTTGTTAGACGCTTTTCTCCAAAGCGACTAACATACTCAATACTGTGGGCAATCCCCTCAGCAGCAATTTGGGGTGAAGTGTCTCAGGGACACAACGACATGCTGACTGCAGTGGGACTCGAACTTGCTATCCTGTGATTCGAAGATCAGCGCACTAACCCACTGCGCCACACGCTTCCTTAACACATCTCAAATCATAGTATATTTCGTACTCACTTACAAGTATTTACTCACTTTCTCTTAACCTCTTACAATCTGCCTGTTCTGTTTTCGTAGGCTTTAGCAGGTGCAGTTTTAAAATGGATACTGGTATCTTTTAAATAATCTGTTGGTGCCAAGAACGAGGCTAAATAACGATCCAAAGTTACGCTTAATTTAGATAAGGGGAGACTGGAATGCTCATTTTCAAGATAACTGAAGGGAAATAGTTGTTATGGGTACCCACTTTATGCTAATCCCATACAGTTTGTGGCACAAACTATAGAATTTGGGGGGATTTCAGACCATTTACATTCTCAAAAACACACTACAGGAAAGGGAAAAACCCCAAAACCATAATAGGGCCTCTTTAAAAGTCATCTAAATAAAACATAATGTTTATTGCAGATTTTTGATTAGAAGGAAAAGTGCCACAGAGCTTCATCTCAGATTCACCTTCAGGTTTCCAGCTTTCAGATGATGGACACGTCTATACGGCATATACTTCTGACTTCCTGAACATCTCCCGTCCCCCACTCATACCCCTCTAGAAAGGTGGTGAAATGGTATGAGGTTAAACACACTCACTGTTGGGATTTCCACTTCTTTGCTTTGTGTTAGATGTGACTTTCTCTCTCCTTCAATTTCTCTTAATCCTTCCATTTTTCACTTTACTACTTTACATTCTTCACTCAGTTTTACCCACACCGTCACACACACGCACGCACGCACGCACGCACGCACGCACGCACGCACGCACACGCACACAAACACACACACACACACACACACACACACACACACACACACACACACACACACACCTCTTGGGCTTGTCTTTGTATTCTTCCCTGTAGTTTAGTTTTTAGTTCTTAATGTTTCATTCATTGAGTTTCTCTGAAGCGTGTTCAATTTTTCTTCACTGTCTTCTGTCTCTTTCATTAACACACACACACACACACACACCCACACACACACACACACACACACACACACACACACACACACACACACACACACACACACACACACACACACCTCTTTGGTTCGTCGCGGCGTTGTCTCTTTAGAATTTGTAGATATTCTCTGCGGACCAATTTCCCTGTGAATAATCACGGAGGTTCATTGTGGAAACGAGCACGGTGCCAAAGTCATTTCTTCAACAGGCGGCAGCTTTATACCGAGTCAATCAAGCTGAAATATCTCAGCAATGGCTCCTATTTCGTTAAGCGCCGCTCACTCCCTATGAATATAATTACTGCGCTGAGCCGCGTCCACGCCTTCTTCATTTACCATTCCCCAACTTTCAACCATCTGAATTGCTTTTGAACCTGAAATTCTTAGTTTAACTCATACCTGATTTTGTGACTCAATGCGTTTACTAAATTTACTAAATCAGTTGATTTTGAGTAACCTTAAGATGTTGAGAAGGTACCTACTGGTTTATTGTAAGTCCCAATAGATTTATAACAACAATATATAATAATAGGTGAAGATATTTCCTTGAAAATGTTCCGTGAACTCAATCTCGAACTGATCCATGTGTTGACCCCTGGAGGAAATTCATCAGTAAATTGGAAGGAATTAAAATAAGAATTATCTTATTTCAACAACAACAAAGTTATATAATCTTGTTAAATCTTCCAGCACAGTGTCATAAAAGTACCAATAGACAACTCATTGTTGTATTCCAGGTTTGGGAAACACCGTAAGGACGAACGACCGGGGGAAAAGTTGGACCGGAAAGGTTCCAGCAAGTGGAGGACGGAGGAGTCGCAGGTTTCTGATGAAGAGACGATGAAGATGAGGATGGATCAGGAGAGGTAAGGGGCTTCCTGTTGTACCGCCTGCTAAATGCTTTTAAATGTATTTTATTGCAATGCTTAAGGTCCTTTTATCTTTGCACTCCTATATTCTTTGCTACTTTAGCATCAAAGGAAAGTCATTACTACCTTACATAGCCATGGACATGAAAGCTAGCCATTGAGGCATTTACTTTCAATGGTTTTTAAGCTTTAGAGAATTGAATAAAAGCTTGTTATGAATACTCTTGATCGTAGTTACAAAGTTCAAATCCAAACGTGTATTTTAGCGGCCGCGCTCCAGCTCTGTTCCCTGCTTTAATGAACACATCTAGTTTGTGTTCAGTCATTCTAATTTTCTCCCTTAGATATCAGATAATATAGATGTTGTGGCCAACATGTATGTGGGCAACGTTTCACCACTTTGTTGAACATGTCATTTGAAAACCACGGTCATTAATCTGCTATCAACGTCTTCTGGGAAAGCTTTCCACAAGATGTTCGGTTTGCAGGAAGTTGTTTACATTCAGCCGCAGAGACATGAAGTCCAACACTGCCATTGGATGATAATACCTTGGTAGCATTTAGTATTCTAGGTTACCCAAAGGCTTGGATGGGGTTAAAGAGTCCTTTCCTGCTGATGTTCAGGTGTATATCAGTATGTAGTGTCTCTACTTTAAAGAGTCCTCTCCTGCTGATGTTCAGGTGTATATCAGTATGTAGTGTCTCTACTTTAAAGAGTCCTCTCCTGCTGATGTTCAGGTGTATATCAGTATGTAGTGTCTCTACTTTAAAGAGTCCTCTCCTGCTGATGTTCAGGTGTATATCAGTATGTAGTGTCTCTACTTTAAAGAGTTCTCTCCTGCTGATGTTCAGGTGTATATCAGTATGTAGTGTCTCTACTTTAAAGAGTCCTCTCCTGCTGATGTTCAGGTGTATATCAGTATGTAGTGTCTCTACTTTAAAGAGTCCTTTCCTGCTGATGTTCAGGTGTATATCAGTATGTAGTGTCTCTACTTTAAAGAGTCCTCTCCTGCTGATGTTCAGGTGTATATCAGTATGTAGTGTCTCTACTTTAAAGAGTCCTCTCCTGCTGATGTTCAGGTGTATATCAGTATGTAGTGTCTCTACTTTAAAGAGTCCTCTCCTGCTGATGTTCAGGTGTATATCAGTATGTAGTGTCTCTTCTTTAAAGAGTCCTCTCCTGCTGATGTTCAGGTGTATATCAGTATGTAGTGTCTCTACTTTAAAGAGTCCTCTCCTGCTGATGTTCAGGTGTATATCAGTATGTAGTGTCTCTACTTTAAAGAGTCCTCTCCTGCTGATGCTCAGGTGTATATCAGTATGTAGTGTCTCTACTTTAAAGAGTCCTCTCCTGCTGATGTTCAGGTGTATATCAGTGTGTAGTGTCTCTACTTTAAAGAGTCCTCTCCTGCTGATGTTCAGGTGTATATCAGTATGTAGTGTCTCTACTTTAAAGAGTCATTTCCTGCTGATGTTCAGGTGTATATCAGTATGTAGTGTCTCTACTTTAAAGAGTCCTCTCCTGCTGATGTTCAGGTGTATATCAGTATGTAGTGTCTCTACTTTAAAGAGTCCTCTCCTGCTGATGTTCAGGTGTATATCAGTATGTAGTGTCTCTACTTTAAAGAGTCCTCTCCTGCTGATGTTCAGGTGTATATCAGTATGTAGTGTCTCTACTTTAAAGAGTCCTCTCCTGCTGATGTTCAGGTGTATATCAGTATGTAGTGTCTCTACTTTAAAGAGTCCTCTCCTGCTGATGTTCAGGTGTAGATCAGTATGTAGTGTCTCTACTTTAAAGAGTCATTTCCTGCTGATGTTCAGGTGTATATCAGTGTGTAGTGTCTCTACTTTAAAGAGTCCTCTCCTGCTGGTGTTCAGGTGTATATCAGTATGTAGTGTCCCTACTTTAAAGAGTCCTTTCCTGCTGATGTTCAGGTGTATATCAGTATGTAGTGTCTCTACTTTAAAGAGTCCTCTCCTGCTGATGTTCAGGTGTATATCAGTATGTAGTGTCTCTACTTTAAAGAGTCCTCTCCTGCTGATGTTCATGTGTATATCAGTATGGAGTGTCTCTACTTTAAAGAGTCCTCTCCTGCTGATGTTCAGGTGTATATCAGTATGTAGTGTCTCTACTTTAAAGAGTCCTCTCCTGCTGATGTTCAGGTGTATATCAGTATGTAGTGTCTCTACTTTAAAGAGTCCTCTCCTGCTGATGTTCAGGTGTATATCAGTATGTAGTGTCTCTACTTTAAAGAGTCCTCTCCTGCTGATGTTCAGGTGTATATCAGTATGTAGTGTCTCTACTTAAAGAGTCCTCTCCTGCTGATGTTCAGGTGTATATCAGTATGTAGTGTCTCTACTTTAAAGAGTCCTCTCCTGCTGATGCTCAGGTGTATATCAGTATGTAGTGTCTCTACTTTAAAGAGTCCTCTCCTGCTGATGTTCAGGTGTATATCAGTGTGTAGTGTCTCTACTTTAAAGAGTCCTCTCCTGCTGATGTTCAGGTGTATATCAGTATGTAGTGTCTCTACTTTTAAAGAGTCATTTCCTGCTGATGTTCAGGTGTATATCAGTATGTAGTGTCTCTACTTTAAAGAGTCCTCTCCTGCTGATGTTCAGGTGTATATCAGTAATGTAGTGTCTCTACTTTAAAGAGTCCTCTCCTGCTGATGTGCAGGTGTATATCAGTATGTACGTGTCTCTACTTTAAAGAGTCCGCTCCTGCTGATGTTCAGGTGTATATCAGTATGTAGTGTCTCTACTTTAAAGAGTCCTCTCCTCTGCTGATGTTCAGGTGTAATAAGTATGTAGTGTCTCTACTTTAAAGAGTCTCTTCCTGCTGATGTTCAGGGTGTATATCAGTGTGTAGTGGTCTCTACTTTAAAGAGTCCTCTTCCTGCTGGTGTTCAGGTGTATATCAGTATGTAGTGTCCCTACTTTAAAGAGTCCTCTTCCTGCTGATGTTCAGGTGTATATCAGTATGTTAGTGTCTCTACTTTAAAGAGTCCTCTCCTGCTGATGTTCAGTGTGTATATCAGTATGTGAGTGTCTCTACTTTAAAGAGTCCTCTCCTGCTGATGTTCATGTGTATATCAGTATGGAGTGTCTCTACTTTAAAGAGTCCTCTCCTGCTGATGTTCAGGTGTATATCAGTATGTAGTGTCTCTACTTTAAAGAGTCCTCTCCTGCTGATGTTCAGGTGTATATCAGTATGTAGTGTCTCTACTTTAAAGAGTCCTCTCCTGCTGATGTTCAGGTGTATATCAGTATGTAGTGTCTCTACTTTAAAGAGTCCTCTCCTGCTGATGTTCAGGTGTATATCAGTATGTAGTGTCTCTACTTTAAAGAGTCCTCTCCTGCTGATGTTCAGGTGTATATCAGTATGTAGTGTCTCTACTTTAAAGAGTCCTCTCCTGCTGATGTTCAGGTGTATATCAGTATGTAGTGTCTCTACATGTCTCCATGCTTTAATGTTCAAAAAGCTCTTTATTTTTCTCATACTGCCTGTGCTGCAGCACCTCTTTTCACCCTCTGTCTGAAACCAGAGCCCAGTCTGCTCTGATTGGTTAACTTATACATAAGAATGGTAGATTTTACCACAGCTACTTAACAGCTTGTCAAGCCCAACATACGATTGGAAACAATGGTCTTAGTTTTCTGTCTGCACCTCAGGAAGTGTTTTCAAAGTAGCTCAACAGACTGAATAAATTCCCTCTTTGACATTTCCTAGACTAAACAAAATGGATATGTTATACTTTGTTAATGAACTCGATATTTCCAACAGCAGTATGTTAATGGTTTAATAAATGAAGAATGTGTGTAATTACAAAAATGAGTAGATGGGTTAGAGAGCCCATTATTTCCTAGTCTTTCACTGTTATCAGGATAGGCGCCCAAAACCAAAACAGCCCCAGCCAGTTATTTCCTCGCTGCATCACACTGCACCAAACTAAATGTCACTCGGGCGCTGAGCCAGATTTCCGGGCGGCAGTTCATAAATGCCAAGGCCATTACTGCCCTGCCAGCTAATTAATTCCCTACTCTTGGTGTAGGTGCGGGAGTCATTACACCCCCCAACAGTAGCTCGTTATGAACATTTGGTTAGTAATTATTTTCTTTACGCTTGAAGAGAACATAGTCCAATAATATGATAATAGCCAGGTCTTTATTTTTAATTGGAATAGGGTTAACGCAAATGCCACGTCAGATGATTTGATTGTGACGCTGCATGTTGTTAAAAGTTCATAATGGTCCTTTTGTATGTTAATCCAATCTGTTTGAGTCACATTATCACGACGTAGCTTCAAACACCTGTTCAGAAGAATGTTGTAGTATTTCACAGATATCATGCCCCATTTCACTTATTCATTTAGATTCACAATGACAGCAGACGGAGGGTTGCGGGCGAACGTATGTTCATGTGAAAAGCAGATAAACATGCTAATATAGATGTAATTGGTCATTGTGGACGTGAATGTACTTTCTAATGCATTCGGCCTTAATCAGGTTGTGAAATTGGAATTTCCACGGCAATTTAAACAAGAAACCTTCTAGTCAAATACCTTGGGATGCAATCTGTGAGTCTAATTACTTACATTGAGTTTTGTTGCCAATAATAATGTATTTTATGGCGCGTTTCCACTGCAGCGGGTAGCCCCGTTTAAGCGTCCTTAACCGTCCTCAAGCGGCCAGGCCGGTTTTTGGTGGCGTTTCCATATAGCCTAGTACCGGCCAGCAGGTACTTTTTCCGGCCTCATAAAATCGTGGTTCCCTCAGACCAGGGCCAGGGCTGAACTAGTGACGTCAACACTCTCGACTGCTGATTGGTCAGAGAGAATCGTCACAAGATTGCGCGCGAGTTCATCCCTAGCGTCGCATATATATCTAGAAGCAAGCTTGCAGCATTTTTATACACAGCATTTTGTAAACGGAGGAGCTACAAAAATGGCAACGTCAAAGAAAAGCACAACGTGGTCGACCGAGGAGGTGACGACGTT